GAAAATTCTTTCACGACTGGAAAATTCTTTCACGACTGGAAAATTCTTTCACGACTGGAAAATTCTTTCACGACTGGAAAATTCTTTCACGACTGAGATCATTCATTGTTAACAGGGCGCACACAAAAAAAGGAGAAAAGAAGGGGCAAACATATTCCTTCTGCGTTACAAGTTCGGTTTGTAAGGCGGTTGTTGCTGTTGTTGTTGGTAGTGGTGGTGGTGCATCTGTCGTTTCTGCTGCTTCTGCTGGTGGGTAGTTTGCCTCTTTTTAAAATGACTCGCCATGGAGTTGCCCCCATTTTGCTGCCCCCGCCTCACTTCTTGTCGTAGTAAATATAGTCCATAAAAAGCGAAAAGGCCAAGAGCATCATCTTCCACTCGGGGTTCTGCACCTCTTCGAAGTTGAGCGTATAGTTGTCCATGTCCCGTTTTACAAATTTCAAGAAGGGAACTTCCTTCTGCAAATGGGCCACCTTCTGTTTTGTTTTTGCATCTCGCAGGAAAAAATTGCTAAATTTAAAAGGACCAAATGGACAGGGACATAAAATACTAAGCTGGCAACAGGTGTCATCCATGTATATAATCTTCCTCTTGGCAGAATCATATAAATCAAATTTGTATGAGCAGCAACTGAAGGGAGATTTTATCGTCCCTATTAACTCCTTGTTATTATTGTTTGAAAATTCATACATTCTAATCGTTGGCCTATTTAAGCACAAAATGGTACAAGAACAGTCTTTCTCGACTATAATGTCAGGCCGACTTAATTCCTTTCCATAGGTCAATATTTTCATATTTATGGGAATACACATTTTAGGCAAACAGTTCCTATTGAAACAATCTGAACTTTCGATGGCTGTGAATTTAAGCAGTTCGGTGGCTGCATCTAGCACTAAGTACCTATTGTTAAAGTCTAATTTCATTCCCATGGCAAAATCAGCTAGAAATTCTCTGTCATCAAATTGTTGCTTGATTCTGCAACTTTTTAAAGGGGCCAGGATGCTCTTCCAGTCATTCGTGAACATGTGCATTTGCTGCTGGGGCGGGCCCATGGGGTATTGGTGCTGGTAGTTGTGCATGTTTGGGTATGGGAAGTTGTAATTCAGGTTGGGGGCGTTGGGGTGCGGCGCGTTGGGATGCGGCGCGTTGGCGAAGTGGTTGTGTCCAAATTGGTTGTGCCCGTGTTGGCTATTCGTGTACTGGTTATTTGGGTGTTGATTATTCGCGTACTGGTTGTTTGCGTGTTGGTTATTCGCATACTGGTTATTTGCATGTTGACTATTCGCATGTTGGCCATTCCCATGTTGACTATTCGCATGTTGGTTGTTGGCACCCTGATTGTTGGAGCACTCAGTGCCGGCCTGCGGATTCTCTCCCCCCGTTTGCACCACACTTGACGCGTAAACAGCCTTCTTAATAGGAACATTCATGAACTGGTTATTCATCGTGACTTCCAAATTGCGATGGTTTGCAAATTTCTATTGGTAAATGTTGCCTCCGCAGTTTTAGTGCCTGTACTTTTTTTCTCCCACTTTGGTGCGATTTCGAAAAAAAAATTTTCAAAAGAGTTGCAACTGTTGTGCATGCGTGTAATTTTTTAAACACTCAATTGTCATAAATTCTGATTAGCCTTTTACGCGTTACTTTCCTGTTTTTTCGTGCCCCCTTTTGGGAAAAAATATGTTGACATGCAAATAGTTAAGCCGTTAAGCCTCTGCGGGAAAGACTTTTTCTTCCGCAAAAAGTGGACAGCTGATGTACGTACGTTGCAATGCGGAAAAAGAGGAAAAAAAAAAAATCAACAGGTGAGTATTTTTTAAGCAAAAAATGCAACTCCCTTGTTGTGAAGAAGACGCATGGGAGTAATTACAACAACGTATTTTTGGTTGGTGGTCTGAACAGTGCCACACCTGGGGGGGGGGACATAAGTACAGACCCTCTTTCTTAATGTGTTGTTTTTCCTTTTTTAAAAAAAAAAAGACTTACTCGAAATAGTTTATTCGCAAATATGAGGAAGGCAAAACGATTTTCGAAAGCGTCACCTACGTAGGTACACAAATCCAAGTAAAATAAACAGTTGTAATGTTTTCCAAGAAAGACGTCTTTTTTAAACGCGCGTCTTGTGTTGTGATGGGATTCAATAAATGATGCACGTGTGGCTGTTCATATTAAGGGAAAAAAAAAAAAAAATGCTCACTTCATGCACACATATAGTTGTTTTTTTTTTTCTTTTTTTTTTTTTTTTTTAAATTTGCCTGAACAGACAGGTATTTTTTCATAGCTAGTTTCATTTATACCACTCCGCCGCTAAAACCCAAATGAAGTGAAAAAAAGCAGTGGATAAATTTTCCTCTTCGCGCAATTTTTCCTCTTGGAGGAATTTGTGCATCAATGGGACCTTATCGATAATTGCGATGTAGAGCGGCGGACTGCACATAGGAGGGGCGTAAAAATGCCTATACAGCTGCGAATTTGCGCGCGTTCCCACGTCCACGCGAACAGCCCAGCCTCGCTTAAACTAAAAATATGCACAACAGCGCATTTAAAAACGGAAGAAGAACCCCTCTTCGAAATTGCATCTATTTCAGGAAACCACTAATGATTTATTTCACCCCCTTTTGAGACGTATTTCGCTTTTTTCAAAAATTATGTCTTGTTTGAGAAGCTGTTATGTTAGTGCCCCGGCGGAAACGTGTATTCGTCCATGTCCTTCACTCTCACATAGTGCCTCCCCTCCTTTTAAATGAAAAAAGAGAAAAAAAACTGTTTTAACTCCTACATTTGGAAAATTGTATATTTGTATATTTGTGCTGTTTCTTCCACTGATGAGGTTAAATTATGCACTTTGGTTCCCCCACCAGTTTGTGAAACAGCGAAGCAGGACACGTTGCAGAAGCTGTACAGCTGCGAGCTAAGCTTCGTCAAAGGGAGAAGAGCCACCACTGCTTGGGTGGATAACTTACACACATGGGCTCTCTTTAATGGGAAGTTTTAATCTTTATTAAAAGGGAAAACAAAAAAAATTATAAATTTTGCCTCGTAGCAATGTCACAAACGTATAGTTAAAAATGTATGGAAGAATGAGAAGAAAATTTTCCCCTCTTTTTTAAGATGAAACTTTTTTTTTTTTTTCGTCTTTTTTGTTTGAAGAAATATAAATAAAATATATACACATACTTGAAACTAGCACGGGGTTGGGGGGGGGATGTGCACTTCCCCTTTTTGACTTCAAAATATAGTCGGCGCAGAGCTTTTAATTTTTTCACATTTTCCTTTTAATGCTCAGGGCAATGTGTCCCCTATACGCTGTGCACACATAGGCGCGTTTTTTTTTCGAGTTTACATTTATTTAAGCGTTGAAATGTTGTTAGCTGTGTGCTCGCTTTTACAGGAGACCATATTATGGGGGCATCATTTTGGCATGCATCTGTACCGGTTTGCGTTCTTCTTGTAAGACGTGTGTCACATGGGAGGGGGGCAGGGATGTCTACTCTCCTGTTAAGAAGAAGTTCGATTCGGTAAAAAATGGGACATTTCATTCCTGTAAATTTTTTATAATTTTATTTTTTTGGAGATTCATTAGTTTATTCACTTCAAAGGAAAAGAGAAGCAACGCTTTGTTTACTTCCTAATAATATGAGGCGCGAAAAAAAAACGAACAAATCGGCTATCCCGGAAATGACCAAAAGATAGCACATAATGCGCATAGTAATGCATGTAGGCTTAAAAAAAAAAAAAAAAATTAACACAAATGAAGGAGTAAACTGAGAAGAAGTGGCACGACAACTGGGGAGCGTTGTCAGATGCGCATTCTTTCCCCTTTGGCGACAGTGCTGGTGGGGAAACATTTGGCACGCCGCTAAAGGGGCTCACACATCTCATGAACGCTTACACAGCAGTGGTGTGCCTGAGTATGCACTTATACATTAATACATAGGCGCATCTATACATAGCTGAGAAAAATGCCACTGTTCCACCCTCTCCGCCGCTTGTAAAATTGCACACAAAAAGAAATTGTCACATTTTAGAGGAGTCTTCCAAGCATCACACTGGGGCGAGTTCCCCACAAAGCAGGATAACTGCATAGGGCAGCAGCATTCTCCAAATGCCAAGATAAGCAACTAACTTCACAAAGTATCATTCCTAATTTTTAAGTGAGTCCCACAAAAAAATTCACCTACTTGGGTATACTTATCCTCCACTTTTTCACTAATCGTTCGGATTGTATGACTACATACTTTTCACATGTCCCCATTTCGATGTTTCCCGATTTGAGCTCCACCGTGTATCGGCCAAATGCCTTTCATTAGTTCAATTTTTTTTTTTTTTTGTAAAAACTTAAAGGGTAACCAATATGTTAGGTGTGCATATAAACAATTATTGCACAGCTGGGCGAAGGGGGAAACCTTTTAAAGTAAAAAAAAAAAAAATCGAAAAAATGCCATTTGGTAGATTCTACAAATGCGTTGGAACACTCGGTCAAGGTACGGCAATTTCTTTTTAAGATGAGAGGAGGGGGTCCCCAAGAAGGTACCTTTCGCCATATTCCTCAAAGCGATTCTGCAAAACGGGGAGGGGAAAAAAAAGAGAAAAAACATCACGGGAAAGGAAGAATCGAACCTCTACTCCCATTTTGAGGGGAAACACAAATTCGGAGCGGTATAATAAGTATAGTACTAACAGATTGGCAGAACCGGTGATGATATGTTAAGGTAAAGATAAGGAAAGATACAGTGAGATGCAATCTGGGGAACCTTCTCCCATAGAATAGATTCTGGAAATAAAGGACAAGCAGTTAGGTAACCCCTTTCGGGGGAAAAAAACAAAATATATAGAAGCAAAAAAAAATAAAAATAATGTGCAGAAGTGGGCCTGGCGGTTGCAGCAGTGGCTGGTCAAAGAAGGGAGCACCTCCTTGGCAGAAGAACGAGGTATTTATCTAGCTGAGGGAGGAACCCCCTTTTTTTTTTTTTTTTTTTTTGTCCAGTTAGGTCTCCGTTAAAGTTGTTTCTCCTTGTTCGCAGATGCCGGTGGGGGTGTAAAACGAGCAGTCACGCGGAGGCACACTGGAAGATACGTGTGACACATGTACTGCTCGCTTAGACATACATAACGTGCCCCCCACGTGAGTACCCCGCTCCCCATAAAATGCGTCACGCAAAAAAGCTACTCTTTCTCATGGTAGTCCTCTGTTCTTGCGCCAAAATAAAAAAAAAAAAAGTGCCCGTCAAGGGGCTTCCCATTAACATATTGGCAAAGCGTAGCAAACGAGACAAGCAAAATGTTTACCTGTTTCTGCTGGGAACCACCCCGAAGAAGAGTCACAATAAGATCTTCCCATCGGAAGAGAAGCTGAAGCAGAAAAAGAAGATGTTAAAAATAAAATCACTCAATTCTTTATCCGATGAGGACAAGTATAACCTCATCAAAGACCTAAAGAAATACTGTGAGTGCACAAAAAGGTACAGGAGGCTCCCCACAAGGGAAGTGACCATCGGCAACATCAAAATCGGAGGCAACAACAAAATAGCCATTCAAACCATGACTAGCTGCGACACGAGAAATGTGGATGAATGCGTTTATCAAATTAAAAAGTGCAAAGAATTGGGGGCCGATTTAATCAGATTGACAGTCCAAGGGGTACAAGAAGCAGAGGCGAGTTATCGTATTAAGGAAAAATTGCTAGCTGAAAATATTACGATTCCGCTCGTTGCAGACATACATTTTAATCCTAAAATTTCTCTGATGGCAGCGGATGTGTTTGATAAAATCCGTGTGAACCCAGGCAATTACGTCGATGGAAGGAAAAAATGGATCAACAAAGTGTACAAAACGAGGGAAGAGTTTGATCAAGGGAGATTATTTATCCAGGAGAAGTTCGTTCCCTTGATTGAAAAGTGTAAGAGGCTGAATAGAGCCATACGGATCGGGACAAATCACGGCTCTCTATCTTCTAGGGTGCTGTCATACTACGGGGATACCCCCTTAGGCATGGTCGAATCAGCGTTCGAATTTTCAGATCTCTGTGTACAGAACAACTTTTTCAATGTGGTCTTTTCCATGAAGGCTTCCAACGCGTATATAATGATACAGTCCTATAGGCTACTCGTGGCTAGACAATATGACAGGATGGAAAACGGATTGCTATTCCCCCTACACCTCGGCGTAACGGAAGCAGGGTTTGGAGATAACGGAAGAATAAAATCCTACTTGGGAATAGGTTCGCTATTGTACGACGGGATAGGAGACACCATCCGAATTTCGTTAACGGAGGACCCTTGGGAAGAATTAACTCCATGCAAAACGTTGATTAAAAATTTAAAAAAAAGAATCTTTTTTTATGATGACCCTGAGGGGGGCGAAAAGGATAGTCAGATTTCTTCTCCCCCAGGGGATACTTCCCCCACATTGCTCACCTTCGAGGAGCACTTTCGAAATTTTAACAAAATGGAAAAGAGGAGAGTAGAAAAGAAGGAAGGCGTGCTCCATGCAGAGTGCACCATCGGGAACGTAGTCACTGAGAAAGAGCTGGAAGACTCACTGCAAATTTTCAGAGACTTGAATTTAGAGGTTGATCAAAATGGAAATCTCAAAAAGGGCTTCAAATCGACTGACATTGTTGTTATCCCTAAATTGGGGGCGCTAAGCGGTAGGTCCTGGGCAACTGTGGAGAGATTGGCAGAGGCGGGCCTACATGTCTTGGCGGAGTACGACGAAGGGGACGTGGCCATGCTAAGCGGGGGTACCAATGGGAGCGAATACACTGACCGGGTGGGCCACGTTCCCCGGAACACCCTATTTTATCTCGACCTGAACCGCGTATTGAGCATCCTGCAGCAGCACGAGGGACGAATCCCACTGCACAGCTCCGCGAAGGGGTACGTACTAGTGGTGAATGGGAAGGAAGACACAAAGCTGATTGACCAATTTTTTAACCAAATCAGAGGGGAGAACCCACTTCCCCTATTCTTCTTGCTCAAGTCAGACACTATACATGAACATGTCCTCGCTACCAGACGCTTCAACGAAATTGTGAATTCTCTAAATATAGATCTTCCTTATGTGCATTATGCGAATGTCAATTCGACAAACTATGACGACATGCTAGTCGATTCAACACTCTACGTCGGCACTTGCTTAATCGATTTAATGGGAGATGGGCTCATAATAAATGTCACCAATGGGTATATAAAACCGGACGGAGACTCTAAAGAGGGAGTTCCTTCCTCTCGAGTTGCACTAAACTCATTTCTCACTTTGAACATCCTACAAGATACACGTGCTCGTTTATTCAAAACAGATTATATTGCCTGCCCCTCTTGTGGTAGAACCCTTTTTAATATACAAGAGACGACAAAAAGGATTATGCAGCTGACGGGTCATTTGAAGGGAGTTAAAATTGCCGTCATGGGATGCATTGTCAATGGTATTGGTGAAATGGCTGATGCACATTTTGGTTATGTTGGAAGTGCCCCCAAAAAAATCGACCTGTATTATGGGAAAGAACTCGTCGAGAGAAACATCCCTGAGGAGGAAGCCTGCGACAAACTTGTGGAGCTCATTAAGAAGCATAACATGTGGCAGGACCCGTAGGCGTTAGGGTGAGGATGGTGGTGCTGTTCCCCATACCTCCATCTATGGAGTCATCGAGAGTCGTGTCAACAACACTTTCTCAGCGCTTCTTGCTCCCCCACTGAATTCCTTTTTTGTTAATGTTACGCGGTGCACATGTCACGCCGTACATATGTACCGCTGTGCTGTGGGACACCCCAGCCTTGCGGTGACCCGATTTTTTGAAAAGTTCCCCATCAGGAGGGTGTATTCCCCAAAGGGAAGAACAGCGCCAACCGCCAATAGCCAACCGCCAATAGCCAACAGTGAACTCCCCGCACTTCTACCTTGTGCAAAATTGAAAATTTTTTCCAATTTGTCTTTACGTTTATTAGTGGTGGAAGGATTGCGACGTGGTGATGCGACCGTACAGCAACACTGCCACGTCGCTGTGGATCACTGTGCATCGCTTTATATCGCTTTGTATCGCTTTACATCGCTTTGTATCGCTTTGCATCGCTTTGTATCGCTTTGCATCTCTCTGCATCGCTACACCGTTCGGGAGGTGCATATCACCAAGGCCAGCGCTCCTTCCGGGCGCGCCACCCTCCTACGGGTGAAACAACCAAGTGGTCATAATGCCAAATGAAAAAAGTGCGACGTACGTAAAGACGGCCGCCTTCGGGACGTTTTTATTCGCTCGGACCTTAGAAGTGGGAAAAAAAAAAAAGAAAGAAAAAAACAAGTCGGTAAAACTGGGGGAAGAACAAAATCCGGGGCGCATAACTGCCTCGCGAAGGAAAGGCAATTTGCACCCTCTCCACTTCTCCCATAATTAGCTACAAGGAGGATGCGGTGAGACAGGCACCCCGGGGGTGAAGTAACTCATCCCTCTACTCCCTTTCGGCGCTTACCCATAAGTCCGAAAAATCGTAATGCGGAAGGTGTGTGCTCTGCCTGCAACCACTCAGAAGTCTGTATCCACTTGTCTGTGGAATGTACATGATGGGTTTCCTTCCTACGCGAAAAATGATAAAAAAAAAAAAGCAAGCAGCGAAATAATGGCGGGTCACCACGATGCGTCCAAAATGTGTGCAACTTTCTTGTGGACATAAAGACAACGCACAAGCGACGTTTCTTTGGAAAAGCTCTCAACTGTCCACAGAAAAATGCCTAATATATGGGCACCTCCGCCACAAGGACAAATCATTTTTACCACTCCCTTTGTGGGTTCCATCACACCACGGTTGGTTTTTGCTCGTCCCGCAGGCACAGTACCAGTAAACCTACGTTTTGTTAAAAAGAAAAAAATGATATGAACATTAACAATGTTTTAACGCTTTGTTTTTACGTGGCGCCAGCATGTTGGTTCTCAATCCACTTCCACGTGAGGTCAACCTTTGCACACAGACACGCACATACACATGCACATACACATGTACACATACACACACACAATGATGGCGTATTTTCTCAATTTTGTTAAACTTTGGAGTGGGCCCTTCCTTTTAACCTCCCTTGTGCGACTTGTCATACCTTTTGCTTCTCCACTTTGACGAGGTACGGATCAAGGGAGTCCGTTTTGGGGGCTGGGTCATGTGGCCACCACTGTGCCCAACTCATTTTCCCTCCTTTGTTATGTGGCAATAAGATTGGATACTTTTGCAAGCGGGCGTGAAGCGCGTAGTAGGGGGAAGCCTTCTAGGAGGGAAGCTGTGTCGGGGGAATCTGGTGTGCGTTTCCTTCGCCTGCGTACTTTGCGATGTGGAATTGGCGAAATCGGTGGGAACAGCCCTATTGCACAGGTAGCTGGTGTAGTGATGGTTCAATATTGCTTCGTCTTACGGCGCACTGCTGCTCTTGTGATGTTTCCCCCCTTGGTGGAAAACGTCATTTTCGCTTCAGCAAATCTGCGTTTCGCTTGGCGCGCTAGAATATACCACATGTATCTCCAGCCCTTTGTGGGGTATATTTTTGGGGAGCATTTTCTTGAAAGCATTTTGCGACGCACCTTTTGGTAGGCATTTTTTTGCGTTCTTTTTTTTTCCCATTTTGAGTTCCCAGTCTCCGTCAGTCCAGCATTTCCGTGAGCGCTGGTTCCTTTGTGCAACACGCGAGAGGGGCAACACGCGCGCACGCTACACATGGTGCCGTTGGCGTCGTGGCGACATGACGCACATACGTACTTACGTACGCTCAGTGCCGATTGACACGTGTCGTAGAAGCAGACCAACCGTTTATTTCCTTCCAAAACCGTACGGGCACTTTTTTCGGCCCAGAATTAGCGTTTTCCCCGCTAGTCACTCCCCCAATTGGGGTTCCGTCCCTTTCCTACTCGTTGCTCGCTGCTGGTTCTCTTAACGAGTGGAAAGAGAACGGACGGCTGAACGAACAAACGGGTGAACGAACAAACGGGGGAACAAACAAACGGGTGAACAAACAAACGGGTGAACAAACAAACGGGTGAACAAACAAACGGGTGAACAAACAAACGGGTGAACAAACAAACGGG